GGAGTTGGAAAGAACCCCGCCTTTTTCCTCGGCATCATCTCCGACACAGCCACACGCTGCTACAGCATCCTCAGGACCAAGAACATGGGTGCGTGGGACCTGGGGGGGTGGGCATTCGTTCTCCTTACCTGTCTGTCACATAGTCACTGTGTCAGGGAGCACCACCATGGCCTTGGGAAAGGATAGAGTGGGAGCCCTGAGCTGCACCGATGGTTGGAGCAGGGAGGGGGGTGCTGGGGACGTTATTCTGCCACCTCTCTTCTCTCTCACATGGCAAGGGGGACCGGACCAGACTCCTCAGGCCACAGTCCCTGTCTGGGGTGCGTGTCCCCTACCCTCCAGGTGCTATGTGCTGGACCTGGGCTATCAGGAGCCTGTCCATCAAGTCCAGGGCGGGCTCTGTCCCTGGCCGTGGTTGGTTGGTGATCTGATTTTTGCTGTCAGCTCTGTTTTGAAGATTCCTGCTGGCCAGGTGCTGGGTGGCCCCCAGAGGGGTTCCCTACCTGTCCCACCCAGGTAGCAGGGGGTCCCTGTGGGGCCGGGTGGGCTGGCCCTGAACCCCTCTCCTATTGCTGACAGGGATGGTGCTGGGCGGCCCAGGTGCCATTGGCCCCTTCCCTTCCGAGGCTGTACGCTGGCTCTGCCACCAAGCTTTCCTGCTGAAGCTGGCACGCCACCGAGTCACCTACAAGTGTCTGCTGGGGACGCTCAGGACGAGTGAGTGCAGGGGAGGGGGACAGGTCCCAGCCCCCCAGAGTCTGATCAGTTCCACCAGTCAGGGCCTGGAACCCACACTTGGATGGCGCTCCCAAGTGGGTGTGTGGGGTCACGGGCCCCCCTGTGTTCACAGGCTGTCCCCAGAGGACCAGGGCAGCACTCGGCCAGCGCACTGCTGGCTCCCACCTTGGGGCCCCCTGGAACCTCTGATGGGCCTGCCACCCCTGCAGGCCGCCTCACCCCCCTCCCCTCCCAGGCCTGCATGTCCTCACATGGGTGGAGGGCAGAGCGTGTGCCCTGCTGTCTCAGCTCAGAGTCCCCCCTGGTCATTTGCCCACAGCCAAGATGCAGCTGGGCCGCAAGGTGCCCAAGGCGACGATGGCCCTATTGAAGGCTGCCACTGCCCCAGCCCTGCTCTGCGAGTTCAAGACCATCCTGGACTGATACCACCAATGCCTCAGCCTTGCATGGAGGCTCAAGACGGCCCTGGGTCAGCCAGTGCCAGATGAGTGAGGTGTTGGGATGAGAGGGGCCCATGGGGCAGGGTAAGGCCTGAGCCTGTCCCTGGCCCTTTCTGTTTGGGGGTCCCTTACGCACCCGCTTTGTCAAGGAAACCGAGTCTCAGAATCAGCCCCCAGCCCCGTTACCGGCACAGTGGCCCAAACTGGGCCACCTGCATGCCCCATCCTGAGAGTACCTGGACCCACCAGTTTATAGGGCTAAGGAAGGGCTGTGTCCGAAGTCCATCCCAAATTCGGCTTCCCTGGCAGGCAGAGGTCGAGTCAGTGACTCAGCACCTGCCCCGCCTGGCCTGGAGCCTGGTACCTGCACCCTGTACCCTGCCACCCGCCCAGGACACCCAGTGCTCTCCTCTCACCCCGCCCTGCCTGCCCAGCCTCCCCCACAACTCTGGGACCTCATCCTCCAGCCCTGGAGACTGGTGTCGCCCTCCCATTGGTCATCTCGCCCATGTTTGTGATCCTGTCCCACCCCCACCCCTGACCAGCCTTCCTGGGCCTGAGTTTGGACCCTTCTGTCCACCCTGCTGCAGCCCACCTGTCAGAAGCCCTGGGACCCACATGGCCTCTGGGGGCTCTGACCCCATGCAGGCAAGCCCAGCCCCCTCGGTGCAGCCTGGGGGGCACAGGTATTCATGTGGCATGGGGGTGGGCTTCCTGACAGGAAGAAAATCGGCCTCTGGCAGCATGTTCTCATCCGCTTTACATGTCTTGTCATACGTTCTCATGAACATGTTGAAAAGCCAGTCGTCAGAGTCAGGCCTGGCTCGTGGTGATGACCCTGCCCATCAGGGTAGGACCGCACCTGCGACTGCCCCCCTGGGTTACTGGGCCTTTCCTCTGGGCTGGGTCTGGTCCGGGTGCCCCGGGACCACCTGCCACTCGGCCAGTCTCACTGAGCCATGAACGTTTGCATCCCCAGGCGGGTGGGTGGTGATGGTCCCACAAGGTGTGCAGGGTCCAACCCATGGGAGGTGATGCCATGGCTGTAGGACAGTGAACTGCGCCCCCGTGGGCTTCCAAGACCAGCATTCCAGGGATCTTGGAGCACGGCCCTCAAGTCAGACCTGGCCATGTTCTCTCAGAACCGGAGAATCAGAGTCACAGTCCCAGGGTTGCTTCAGTGGCCTGCGTCCACATCTTTGGACTTCTGGTATCCAGCTGTAACGGGGGCCCATGAGGAAAGCTTGCCCCGTGGCTAGTGCAGCTAGGGTCCAGGGTCAGAGGTCAGAATCTGACTCTTGGGGTGAGGAGAAACCCAGGGTTCACATGTAAATTTGTCAGCATGGAGGCTCCCCATGACCAGGGCCAGAGAGTGGCCGAGTGACCCAGCTGCTGTCCAGGGTGAGAGGTGAAGGGTTAGTTCAGGTTGTGGGTCAGTGTGCAAGTCAAAGGGAGTGTAAAGGTGTGGTGGATGTCTTGCACACACTGGGCAGGCATCTATGTTCCTGAGTCTGAGCTCAGATGTTTGAGTGGGAGGTGGGCCCTGTGGACCTCCCTGGGACAGGCGAGGTGGGTTCTGGGGACCAGGCTGGGGTTGGGGGGAGGGTTGGGGTGCTGAGGGCAGCTGGCCCCAGTCCCCTGGGACAGCCTGTGGACAAGGAGGGACTGGGGCCAGCTGCCCTCAGGAAGTGGCAGCCTGGTTACCTCCTTTCCCATCAGGCTCCTCAGGCACACCTGCGACCTTCAGAGGGCAGGGGACTTCTGTTATTGAAGGATTCAGGCTATAGAGGGGACTCAGTTCAGGGTCACCTGCTTCTCCCGACTGCCCTGTCTGTCTGTAGCAATGGTGCTGTGTCCTCCTGCCCTGTCTGTAGTAATGGGTACTGTCCTCCCGCCGGGCTCTGTGCCCTGTCTGTCTGTAGTAGTGGTGCTGTGTCTTCCTGGGCCATGCGCCCCACCATCTGGCCCCTGGGCTTGGCCTGCTCTTCTCTGCACCTGTGTCCGGCGCACCTCGTGCCTCTGACCATATGCCTGATCACACCTGCTTCTGCTCTGGGGTATCTGGAAGGATGGGCAGAGAGGTGCTGAGCTGGTTTCAGGGACACAGGCCAGGCTGGGCAGGGCAGGGTCCCGGTAGGACTTGGGGGGTGGGAGGTAGGGGGAAGCATGAACTTCCAGTGCAGGGTCCTGTGGGGGTTGGGTTCCTATGTGTCTTCACGTCCTGGTCACCGTAACCAGAGAGCCGACATGGTGCTGTGCCCACTCTGACCAGGGGACACTGACCGGGGGCCTTCCATTGGGTGGCTGTGGTAGTCACCTAATCTGGTGTCAATTTAAGGATTAAGAGTGTAGGGGTGGAGTCTAGGCTGTCAATCTGGAGATAGCCAATGAGACTCCTGTGTGGGCATGGCCTTCTCCTGAGAATTTTGGGAAAACTGGTTCCTCCTTGGAGGCGGAAGACACCTCTCTCTCTCTCTACTACTCCCTGAGAGACGTTGCAGAAGACAAGCCACATGGATGCAACCAGACAGACCTCAGAAGCCCGGAGAAGCCACAGAGAGACCCCTGCCAGCACTGAGATGCTTACAACACCACTGGACCCAAAGCCTTTCTACCCACTGACTTGTGATCATCCTGCATTTGTCTTCATTGCATGTGTTTCCTGAGTCTGAAGAGGACTTCATAGATTGGTATCGGACATCTGGAGTAATATCACACTTAAGGCCTTGGACTGGACCGGGTTGGGATGTTTTCTCAGTGTTCAATTCCTCTTGTATATAAACCTCTCCCTTATATACATATGCGTGTTTATGAATTTGTTTCTCTAGTCTACCCAGACTGACACAGTGGCCCACTACTGGAGGCTCCTGGGTGACTTGTTCTCGTGTCTTCTTCCAGTCACACCACTCAGGGCAGGTCTCCACTGGGGCCACCCACCTCCTACCCAGAATGGAGGAAGCCTGCATGGACACAATTACAGGGTGGGGATCAGGACGCCAGCACCTGGGGGAGACATGTGCTCCACAGCACAGTGCCGGGGAGTCAGCGAATGTGGAGGCCTAGCTGGGCAGAGACCACCTACAGTGGGGCTGGCCAGGGGCCTGACCCCCTGGAAGGGGCTGCTGTACCATGTGGCAGCAGTGCCCCATCAGGAGAGGGGTGCAGCCTGCATCTACAGACAGCCCTCCCAGGGCATAATGCCCTGTCCGCTTGGGGTTGCACAGAGCCTGACCAAGGGGGTGCGGTGAGGGGCATGGTGGCAGCTCCAAGGGGTCCCAGGTGCTTCAGGTGACAAGGCTTGATGTGTGGCTGGCCCCTGTGCACCTGGGACAGCTTCCTAGGCCTGCATGCACCAGGCCCATGTGTACCCGGCTGGGCTTCCTGGGCTCACCAGGCCACGTGACAAGGGGGCAAGCATGAGGGTAGGGACCACGTCTGCATTGTGTGCGTGCATCTAGTGCTCGCTGGCCTGATTTATGGCAAGTCCAAGTTCAGCCCAGTCCCCCATAAAGATGGGTGGGGGACATACCAGCTGCCCCGCCTGGTGCCATCCCCTCCCAACAGGGGAGGGTGCTCATCTAGGTGGGGTTCCAGCAGAGGGTGTGAGGGACGGGCTGACACGGAGGGGAAATCCCGGAGGTTCATTCCAGGCCATTGCCCTGAGGGCAAATAGCCACCCAGAAATTACAGTGTAACAAGGTCCCCACCCCGACCAGACTCACGGCTTTCCAGTAGAGTCTGATACGCTGGGACGGTAGGAATCACCGGGGCGTGTTTGTCTATCGGGTGAGCGGAAAGGCAAGTTCGTCTAACCGGGTGGAAGCCCTGAAGACAGTTCTCAGCCATGGACACTAGGCTGGATGCCTAGGTGGAGGCCACAGATCCGGCCCGGCCATGGCTCCCTAGTTTTCCGACAGACCAAGGCCAACGGGAGAACAGGACCAGGTCAATCTGTTAGTTAGCCATCTTCTCCACGTTCTAGAATCTTCCCTCCCTCAGGCACTGCTGCTGCATTCTCTCAGTCACGTCACTTGTCTCGTTCTGGAGTGTTGGTGTGTCTGAACTATGACTCTTCCTGACATGACTTGGGGGGAATAAAACACTCTGTAGCTTGTCAAGTCTTGGGACAAAATGCACAAATAATAGAATTTTTATAGGAAAGAAAAACTCCACTTTTCAGGCTTCCCCTAGATCCAAGCAACGTATTCGTTTCTTCCAAAATAGGTCTAGTCGATCTTAATCCACAGACCCGTCGTGGAAGAACCACGGCAGGAAAGCATCTTAGAATGGAGGCGGGCCGGGCTTCGTCTTCGGACATGTTAGCGGGAAGGTCACGTTCCTTGAGAAGGTGCGGGAGAGGGTCCGGGAAAGGAGGAAGACCCTCAAGGAGATGGACTGACGCAGGTTCGGGACCCTCCTCCCTCACCACCTGCTGCGGCCGTCTTTCTCTCTCCGGCGCAGCTCACCTGTGTCGTTGCAGAGTTAGCTTTGTTGCGGCTCAATTATACCAGCAAGGACGTGACGGGCTCAAAACACCACAGTGCTTGTGAGGATGGGGCCGCCCAGGGCAACGTTCATTCTGTTCTACGTGGATCCCGGACCAGTGCTGTGCCGCCTGACAACAGGCATCCTTGTGGTTGTAACTCTTCTCGGGAATGGCTTTTCTTTGCCGTGGGAGAAAGTGGAGGCTTTGTACTCCGGTACAGGGTTACAGTCTCGGGAACCCACAGGGGCAGTTCTGCCCTGTCCTATAGGGTCGCTAGGAGTCCGTGAGTTTGGGTTTTCTTTGCTACATTGAGGCAGAATTACTGTGGGATGTGCCAAGACAATCTCTCGGGACATTAAAACAAAACAGAAACAGATCAAGCACGGAAGCTAAGGAGATGGAGGAAGAGGCGCCAGGTCAGAAGGTCACCTGGGAGCTCTGATGAGACAAGGAGCTTCCTCTAATGCCCCCCGCCCCCCGAATTCAGACTCCAGCCTCTGAACTGTGAGGAAATAGAGCTGTTTGCCTGTGGTCACCTGGAACCACCTTCAGCACCCTGGATGATGTCTGCGTGGCTACCCACTTCTGCACGAGGATGCTAGAAAGGTGTGTTCTGGGATTTACTGGGAGCTGCGCCCATCAGCAGGGTCACCAGTTCAAA